AAAAAAAAAACTAATAGAAGACTGTAGGACTAACCTGTGATGTGATAAGTCTGCTGTGAGTTACCAGGCACTTTGATCGAAGAGGGTAGAGAATGGCGATGTAGCGCTCCACAGCTATGGCCGTCAGCAGTAAAATGGAGGCAGTGTAAGTCATGCTCTGAGCGAAGTAGTAGATCTTGCACATAGCCTGGAAGTTGAAGCAAATGGAAATGTCATGGTGTAAATTTAAATGATTTGGTTAACCCTATCCGTACGAAATGACCCCGGGGCTGTATTCTTCATATTTTTAGAATACTTATAGGCTAGTACGAAGATCTCTTTGAACATTTCAGTATTTAATTTCTCAAATAATCATTTTGACAGACAGCTATGCAAAGCGTACGGATCGGATTTACGAGTAAATTGCCTCTTTGGAAAGTAGTGGCACAGAGTTCCCCACGTCGTATGGATACGATAGTACAACACGACAAACGGATAGGGTTAAGTTGGAGAAACAGAAATATGTATGTGAGAGGGCAGGGGGGGGGGGGGGGGTTCTTTGTTTGGAATGGAGGGAGGGGGGTCAGGAGGGAAAGTATTTATTTTTTATCAGTTTACAACCTTACTGAACAACATGAGTTTATTTTAAGCAGGGGGAACTCGTTCTCAGAAGAAATTTTAGTATGGTGAAAAACAAAACAACAGTAACAACAACAGCCACAGCAGCAGCCACAATAACAACAACAACACCAACAATAACAACAACAGAAACAATTGAGAATCCCATTATGTTCTATGGGTATCGCTTAGCCCAGTTGAGAATCCCATTATGAAACACCTGATCTTCATCATTGCTATTATCAATGATATTGAGTTGGTTTTTAAAAAAAAATTCTTCTTCTTCTTCTTCTTCTTCTTCTTCTTCTTCTTCTTCTTCTTCTTCTTCTTCTTCTTCTTCTTCTTCTTTTTCTTCTTCTTTTTCTTCTTCTTTTTCTTCTTCTTCTTCTTCTTCTTCTTCTTCTTCTTCTTCTTCTTTTTCTTCTTCTTCTTCTTCTTCTTCTTCTTCTTCTTCTTCTTCTTCTTCTTCTTCTTCTTCTTCTTCTTCTTCTTCTTCTTCTTCTTCTTCTTCTTCTTATTATTATTATTATTATTATTATTATTATTATTATTATTATTATTATTATGACATTAATTACATGTATTATCACTCCCGCGCCTTTTTTTCTTACTGTCGTCTAAAATTGTTGGGGTGAAGCATCTGCTCTTAATAAGATATAGGCCTACATATAATTATTAGAGAGGGAAACTAAAGGCAAGTAAGCAGCAGTCAGGCCACCTTTGTTCGAATCCCCAAATGGGTCATTCTATAATCTGTTCGGTTTCTCGTGGAGACTGTTTAGTTATTCACACATGATTTATTTAAATATCTGCCATCAGAGACCTGGCGTCGGTAGCCTAATGGATAGACTGGCGGACTCATAATCATGTGATTACGGGTTCAGGGGCTTTAGTTTCAGCTTAGTCTGACGTTGTGTCCTTGGGAAAGGCACCTAATAAGATAAGATTCATCTTTATTGTTCAGACCCTGGCACGTACTACCTCTTTGATATGGTCGTTTCGGAGATAGAAGGGAAACTCGGATTTCCTGCCTCATAACAACCTTACAGTGTTGTCAGGGGCGTTAAACCCATATCCTTTCACTATTTCATTGGAGACTAAAGACAATTGTAGATATTCCATCCACCAATTGAATAGCCTACGCAAGAAAAAAAAAACTCAACACGTTTGAGATAACAGGGGATTCCAGCTGTTCCCACAACGCCAACCCGAGCTGAGAGAGAGAGAGAGTGAGAGAGAGAGAGAGAGAGAGAGAGAGAGAGAGAGAGAGAGAGAGAGAGAGAGAGAGAGAGAGAGAGGGGGGAGGGGTAAATGTCCCCACAGACAGACAATAATACTATATAAAATAGTCCCTACATAGGAATCAAACTCACGGCTTCTGGTGCGACGGCCAAGCGCCTGGCCATTAAAACACAGACACCGGTAAAACCGAAAGAGAAGAACCAATTACTTGGAACTGGCTGGCTTTCCAACTAGAATTAGAATTAAATATTGATGTAACACCTGAAAGGGGGCGATTACGCCCTCTCTCGCCCATCTTTCTCCCAGAATAATTTCTCTTTCCCACCATTATGCGTATGAATGATCAAGCCCACCTTAGAAATAAAAGACACATTTTTGAACTAAGTGAGCTAAATTTAGTATAGGCTCTTTCATGACCCATTTTAAAGACTAACCGGGTAAAAGGATACTTTAAAGTAAATAAAACAAAAAACAAACAAACAAAAAAACAAAACAAAACAAATAAAACAAAACAAAACAAAACAACCCCCCCCCAAAAAAAAACACCCTAAAAAAACAGAACAAAAACATATTTTTAAAGATACCAATCAGAGTTTATGTCTTGATCTTATTGCTTTTATAGACTATAAATTTAGTGACATCTGATGCAATTTTCTTCAAGAGTAAACGTTCGTCAGCACATGCTATTTTATGACAAATATTTACTGATGACATGCCATTAAGAGATGTGTCACTTGATGGCCATTTAAAACAAATGTGTGTGTATATGTGTGTGTGTGTGTGTGTGTGTGTGTGTGTGTGTGTATGTGTGTGTATGTGTATGTGTGTGTGTGTGTGTGTGTGTGTGTGTGTGTGTGTGTGTGTGTGTGTGTTAAGGACCCCACCATCCTTTGCAGTTAGTCTTTGTCTCTTCTTCGGGGATCAGAAACAAGACCCTTCGCCACTTTATAGTATACACCTTAGATTCAGAATACTATGTCTTAAAGGGAAATATTATTTCTCAATTAGGACGAACTGATACTGTTTAGTTTTAGTAAGAGTTTTACAGTTCTTGCAACACAATTAGGTCATATAAGTTCTGACGATTAGAGGTGTTTCAAGACAGAAATGAATGCATTAAAGAATGATGAATGATAGATGTTTGATAAGACAGAAAGATCAAGCCATAGCATAGCCCCCACCAAACACCTACAATTAATTGATATGGCCTGCAGCTTCATTGTCATGGGAAAAGACCAAGATAATAACACTTTTTCTTCTAAAGAAAAAATCATGAACCTTCACGGCCTGGTTCATGGAGCATGTAAAGAAGATGTTAATATTAATGAACATTTCAAGTATTGAACAAAGGTAAATAATTATAATATGGGAAAATAGAACTGTTTTATGTTTTATGGAAAGGTAGAAATATTATGTTTTATTATTGTCTTTACAAAAATCTGTTTCCCGTACATTCTACTTTTAAATTAAGGGTATACGAACTGAGAAATGAGTGTAGAGCCACAATCACAGCTTTCTGTTTCAAGTCTAGAATTTGAAGAAGGAGAAGAAGAAGAAGAAGAAGAAGAAGAAGAAGAAGAAGAAGAAGAAGAAGAAGAAGAAGAAGAAGGAGAAGGAGAAGGAGAAGGAGAAGGAGAAGGAGAAGAAGTAGAAAAAGAAGAAGAAGAAGTAGAAGAAGAAGAAGTAGAAGAAAAAGAATGATGATGATGATGATGATGATGATGATGATGATGATGATGATGATGATGATGATGATGATGATGATGATGATGATGATGATGATGAGTTGAGATAATTTCCTTACCTCCCCAAGCACCCAGGTCTGCGACAGGAATGTGGACAGTTTGGGAAGCACACAGACCAGACCCACTCCAAGATCTGCGACAGCCAGGTTCGCCAAGAAAAAGTTAGTGCGTGTGCGAATGCGCTTGTTTCGACCAACCGTATAGAGGACCAAACTGTTACCTGTAAGGAAGGCAAAAATAACATGAATAATAATATTAGTTTGTCTCTCACGCTTATTAAAATAAATCAGGAAATTAAATGACAAATGCAGTTTCTAATACACTTGAATAAACGCAAAGACCTTCAAAATCTAGCTCTCACAAACTAAATTGAAGGCAAACGAGGCAGGGGTAGACCCAAAGCAACCTACTTGGAGAGCCTAAACAGATGGGTGACTAAGAAAGAGCAGGATACTGTAGCTTTTTAAAGAACTTCCAAATACAGGAATGAATGGAGATCACCTATGTCTGTTGGCACTTGATGATGATGATGATGATGTTGTTTATTCCTCTGACCCGTTGTGTAGTTGCTGCGTTGCAGTTTACGTGCGACAAATAAATAGCACGATTGCAGGTTTATTATGACAAAAGCAGATCACGACAAAAGTAGAATCGAATAAAAGTAAAGTGATCAGACCACACAGGAGCACCTACCAACCGCTCACATTTAATGCTTTTTCATCCAGTCACGCCGTAAACCTAACGATGGTTTAGTGCAAGAATAATTTGGAGATACTTGTCAATTTTAACTCCTAAAATCCAGGCAATAGAGAATATGATAACAAAGAAGCCAACATGACGAAACGTCCAACCTTGATGATGATGATGAAAACATAAAAACATAATCACATCTATACATAAATGAACAAATTAAAAAAAACCATCACAAATATAGACAATGCACCACTGTTGTTCGCCACTGAGCAGTGCCCCCTTTATGACCCAGGGTTATCGTTGTCTGTTCAAGGACACACCTAAGTAATCATCTACCTGAGCGCCGTGTCGTTGACATACACTTGACATTAAGATGAACCTGAGCTCACTAACAGAAATAATAATTTTTGAACCAGTACTGAAGAAGAATGGGCACTCACGTTTCTTAAAAGTGGACTTGAAAATTAATAGCTCATACATAATGATTAAAATCTACAAATTTATAATTTCTTTTGCCAAAAATGATAGAAAAATCCAGCTCCGACTGGCCACAAGAATTTAAAATTTAATGTATTTGTTATTTTGTATTATGATGTAAAATATAGCGCATTTGTTCTTAATTTATGTATTATCATGTAAACCTCTATGCATCGAAGTGTGTTTTGTGTGTGAGTGTGTGTTTGTGTGTGAGTTTATGTGTGTGTGTGTCTGGGTGTGTGCGTGTGTGTGTGTGTGAGAG